GGTGTCCTCCTTTCACGTGCTGCTGTAGGACAGCTGGCAATGGCTACTTGGCTGGGAACCAGTGTCTGTTCTTTAGGAACTAAAAGGAGATGAGGAAACTGAGACCCAAAGAAGCCTGAGCTATTTTCTGACTTCACTGGTTGGTGGGACTCTGGCCTTGTCTACGAAAGGGGTCCTTACAGCTAGCCGAGGAAAACACCTAGTTGAGGGCCCGCAGGTGATGTCAGTGAGCTCTGAACAGACAAGGTCAAATGACACCCCCCCCCAAAAAATAACCAAATAAAAATGAAACGTAAATAAAACAAATACAAAACAAAGTAACTGGATTTGGGACTAAAAAAAACAGTATCTTTCATTTCTGCAGCAGAACCCTGAATGAGTTCAGCCACTTATGACTATAATTTAGCCACTGGGAAGGGAAGAGCATTGAAGGTGGATGAGAGGGAAACTTGAGGGCTTTCAAAAGACTTTCTGTTGAATGTTTATTAGCAAGTTCAGCCTAATCTTGTGAGAATTCTAAACAAGCAAACCAAGATCATGGGAACATAAGTATGACATGGTCTGGATATCTGTCTGGTATTCCTATTGCTCCATTCCGAATATTTATTTGGAGGGCAGGACGTAACCTGAGATGTAATGGAGTTATTTTGATATTGATCACAAACCATCAGTGTGTTTGACCACTGTATTTTGTACATGGGCTCTTCAGGAAAAAAAGCGTATTTTGGTATTCTGCAGGGCTGTGAAGACAGAGCTTTTCCGCCGGGCATACCAGTGAGAATGACAGTATGCCAGCCAAGCCTGCCGACCTGCTAAGACATGTATTCTGTATAAGTAGTTAACAATGTGGTCGATGTCTAGTTGTAATGATTTACCAAACCGCTTTTACTTATATTTATTGTATTTATGTAAAGTTGTTTTATGGACTGATGTTTTATCTATGTTGGTTTTATTAATGCTGTGAGCTGCCCCGAGCCGCTTCGGCAGAAGGGCAGGATAAAAGTTGAATGAATGAATGAAAAAATAAATAAATAAAATAACACTTTACCAGTGAAAAAAATCCCTTTGGAAGGGATTTTCCATATTCAAAAGATGAAGAAATCTCGGTGATCAAGATAAATGATGAGCAAGTCTAATTGTTCTGTAAGCAACAAAGTTCGAGTCCAGCGGCACCTTTAAGACCAACGAAGTTTAATTCTGGGTATCAGCTTTCATGTGCATTCAGACCAACATGGCTACCCACCCGAATCTGTGATGTAAGAAGTCTGCCTAAACTCATCAGTTACAAGTTACAACCCCACCCATTAATACTGCCTGGTATGCAGGAGGGCCCAAGGTTCAGCCTTTGGCATCTCCTGGTAGCAAGGCTGGGAAAGACCCTCTCTGCCTGAGATCCTGGAAAGCCCAGGCAAACACAGTAAACAGACTCATTACAAGTCAGCTTCATACAACCAGACCATTATGGAAGCAGCTATGACAACTACTCAGCTTGAGAACTCTCAGTAAGCAGAATGCAAGCCAGCAGGGTCTGAACACTGTGAACACTGCAGTGAGACATCTAGGCTGAAGAACCATTGTAGAGAAGACAGCATCTTTGGACTCTGGGCCAGTGAAAAACAGTAATCCCTTGGGGGAGAAAAGATACAGCCCCTTCCTGGGGTTCCACTTGCATGGCAGGGGCTGCTAAATACTAGCTTGATAGAAAACAAAGGCCAGCAATTCAGGAGAGGAGGAGCAATTGAATAACTCTAGCATATAGAAAAAATTGCCCTCTAGCAGTGGACACCAGTTTAGCCGACCTCTCAAAGTGTGTAGATAGGAAGGTAGGTAGGTAGGTAGGTAGATATAACCACAGATGCTAGGTTGTATAGGAAAAGCAACTAAGCAGAAACAAAGGTGAGCCAATTATAACTAAGATGACCTACCACACACAAAGAATTTCACCATTAAATACCATTTATCCTGTTTAATTAGTACCTTCTGGATACAATGGTCCCGACACAAATGCCGTCCTCCTCTCTCCTTGGAACTTCTAATTATTGATACAACCTATGCTATTATGCCTTTCCCAGTGTTTTCTCCATCTTGTGTGCCATTTAAAGCCACAAAGATTTTTAATTATCTACATGCACTGTCAAAGATACCTTTAAGAATGTGTGACTCAATTCTTCAGTGTGGGGGGGAGATCATTTTTAGTCATAATTCTATTTTTGTGAATGTGAGCAGACCTGTCTACTGGAAACATCCATTTAAATGCAAATTTTGGTGTTCCAAAAGATGTATGTGCATCTTATAGCACATAGAAGATTATTGTGCCCCCAGTATCCACATCAAGTCATATCTAGGGAAGAACAAATGTATAATTTTATTATATGAATGCTTATTTATGTTTTTTTTTCTTATCACCAATTTTGATTCTTCATTTTTTTCCTATTCATTTTGAAAGTTTCCTTATATTGTGTACATACATTGTACGGTTTCTGTATGCAATTTTATATGCTATTTATATGTTCAATATGCATAATTCAGACATATAATCAATGTTCCCTAAGCTGTGGAGTCCTGTGAGCAAAAATTCTACTTTGTGAGCTACTGGCATTAAAGTTCTGAGCGAGCAATCTGGCTGCTGCATTAAATCAGTGTGCTCTGGAGCCATCTTTCCTGAGCTGAGGAAAAAATCTGTGAGCCAGAGGCTAAAAAACTGTGAGCTAGCTCACACTAACTCAGCTTAGAGGGAACATTGCATATAATATACTTATAATGCTAATTTACTGGTGTACAAATAATGATAAAATATGTGCATTTTACAGGAAAAAATTAGTGTGAAGAACCAAATTGGCATGAAAAATAATGAATCACAAGTCTGCTTCGCACGAGAGAGATGCAAAATCAAATCAAGAGAGATTTTTCAGGCTGTAACAGCAGGGAGGAGATCGTGGCTAGTTGCCTCTCACACAAGCCAAAACAGCTGATGTCCCTCTGAGTCCCGGAATATGTACAGAAAATACAAATTCAACTCTTGCCAATTGCTCATCTCTTGCACACTTACCCAACATTCCCATCCCTAGCATAAAAGCATCCATGGTATATGGTAATCCTCGAGCCCTTCCTCTCGTCCCTGGTGGAAACATCACTTCTTTAGGTTGTGCTTTCTTACATTCCACCTATTAAGCAGAAACATGTACAAATGAGATGCAAATGAATTCATGTAAAATGTCAAATGCTGAACTGGTCTGGTTAAGTGGGAGGAGGGAGAATTATTTTTAGCATTCCTTTTCTGGAAAATGTGAACTTTAAAAAATAGGCCAGCAGGGTAAAGTGATTTTCAAAGAGTATTTATAAGTGATGAGGACTTCAGAAAGCAAAGGAGAACCCACAGCTAAGGAAGAGAGACTCAACGAGAGAAGCCATGCAGCTAAGGAGCTGTTCTGGAGATTCATCAGGCAGCCTGCTTGGGTGCTGCTTATGGCATCGCCAGGTAATGGCTGCTTTGCGCAAGAAGCCTGCTGCTGTGCTGCTGCTGTTTTGCAAGAGCCAGGCTTATTCATGTATTTCATTTACTTACACCCTGCCTTTCTCCCCAGCGGGGAGGGGGGGACCCTAAGCAGCTGACACCGTTTTCCTCTCCTCTGTTTTATCCTCACAACAACCCTGTGAGGCAGGTCAAGCTGAGAGTGTGTGCCTGGCCCAAGGACCCCCTGTGAGCTTCCATGGCACAAGCGGTGATTCGAATGTGGGCCTCCCACTCTGACACTCTTAACCACTACACCACACTGTCTCTCTTCTTTCCTTCTGGTACTTTTATCCGTTGCAAGAATATGTCATTTTCTTAGCACTCCAAAAGCCCAGGATGTGTATAATTTCTACTTCAATTGCCACACATGATCGGTGAGAGCCAAAGATGTCTCAGGCACCTGCCAACAGTACCTGTGATGGCAACAATCAGTGCTACAACTCCCCACATCGCCCTGTAGCTGTTTTAATGACTGTTATGAGTTCTTTGCTGCTCAAACCCTCCTGTTCATGACTGCTCTGGTGGCCACATTGAACACAACGCCATGAAAACACCAACAAGGCTACCCTCATCCTTCCCACCCTGCTACATCCTTCCTGGCCCTGAGAGGCCATCTGGATAAGCAAACTGCCACAAGACAGGTGTGAGCACAGAGGTGATGTCTGATCAACACACCCCTCCTGCAAGCAGCAGAGCAACAGCTGTCCATTCAGCAGGGGCATAACAATGTTTTCTGCAGGGGTATCTGTACAAAGTTTCCAACCAAGTGTTCTTCATGCTACCTTTACTACCATTTGTATCACGTTACAATTTTCTGTCTACTAATAAGCTTTCAAGAGCATGCATGACCAACCATAACCAAAAGAAAATGGCAGGGCACAAGGGTGAATTGAGAACTATTTCTAGATGCCTGGTCCTGTGGGGTGTGCTGGGAGGGAAAGGCTTCTCAGTGTGACCCAGAGACTAGACGTGGAGGGGGTAGGGATGGGCCTCCTGGGGTCTGTTCCTCATTCTTGCCACTTTGAATGTTCTGACAGTTAGGTGCCAACAGAGAAAGTTGGAAAGCATCAATGTAGGTTTATCACCAGCTGCAAAACATCGGGAGAAAGAAAGAATGTATACCTAAATCTTTGTTTCCCTTTACCATGCTTCTTTTCGGTTAAGCCACCAAGAAGCAGATGGAAATATCAAAATATATAATTGTTTCTTCTTTGTAGCCCAGGTGGAGTGTTATATGCAAAGGTGAATATAAAGCTCCGATAAAACAACACACGATCATTCTCCTAGGCATGGGGGAAATAAGAACCCACCTGTCAACCGAGGAAGCCTGTCCCACTTTCAGATATATCAGGAGAGACAGGCCCTCAAGTAGGAGTATCCCACGTCATGATGAACATTACGGGTCAAAAGCAGAGCATTGAATGGAGCTTGGTAGCACATGGAATGTCAGCAACACAGTTGCGTTACAAGTCAAATTACATGTCCATCATACCTTCCAACAACCAAAAGACATGGAGATCTGATTTGGCGCAACATCCTCAGCAAACACCCTCCCCATTCCCATTTTATTGTAGTCCCCACAATGTAAACCCAAAGGTGACAGAAGTTCAGTCCTCTGGAAAATCCACATTCTTTAACTCAAATTTCCTTGCTTCACCAAATCCCACATTTATGAGGGTAGTATCTTGTGATGGAAAATGGAATCTGCTCTGAGAAACAGTCCCCTCTAGCTGGTTGAGAGCTTTCAATACTGTTAAGTTGTCTTTTCCCTACAGAGAGAATGCCAGCCATTAATTCATATGGCAGAAAGTTAAGGGGTACTTCTGGTGTGGAAGTAAAACTGTCCTGGTGGTTCAGCCAACCATGATCAAGATGGCACCTTTCTTCCTTGCCCTGCTTCTTCATCTGTGTGACCCCATTTCAGTCACAACGGAGTACAACAATGTTGGGATTTGGCCTTTATACATACAGATAAGATGCTGATTCAGAAAGGGCAATGCAATATCCAGCTTCACCAAGATCTTGAGCAGAGCACTGAGATCCGGTTTTGTGTGAGTGCCTGACGGGAAGCATTACTTGCGTAAACTCTGCCACTGCAGCAAGGAAGAGAAGGTGGGCGTTCTTCAGAGGTGCAAAACAGGTAATTACATGAGACAGAACCTGGAATGTAGGATAATGCCGCTAACTGGCTCTATTTATAATAGCCCTATCAGTAACAGTCTATTCATTGTTTTACGGTAACCAACTGGCTGTTCCTAGGCAACCCGATCAGTGAAAATTTCAGGTTTGCACTATTTTCATTTAGGTAACGTAAAGGTTAACTGACTGTAAATGGGAGTATTTTAAACAAAACCACCCACCCTACCCCCACCCTACAGAGCCTCACAACGTATCTTATTTATTCAGCTTGCAATATTTCACAGAGCAATAATGCCGCAATGCTGCCAACAAACTTGTCAAAATATTCACTTCTCACAAACTGCTCTGCCAGAAGCCTGGACATGATGGAATGAAACACTGCCAAGCCTGGCTGATGCCTACGCCTACCCAAGAAACCTTTTGCACCTGGCGGGAGGAGGGCAAACTGGGAGAGGAAGCTAGCAGGAGAAGCCAGCCACATGACAATTCCCGAGTTTGGTCAGGAGAAAGGTGAGCATATAAATATTTAAAAGAAAGAATAAAATATGTGACCGAGGACCAGACATGACCTTACAGTGGAAGACCCAGGTGCGGGGTCAGGGCGACTGCCAAAGTCACATAAAGTGTCTTGGTGGGGCAATTCAAAGCACAGCCTGGGCCGGCAGCAGGGCAAAGCATCATCCGAAGAAGCTCGTCTGGTGGGTACGAGAGAGGGGGGGGGGCTTGTTGGTGGCAGCCCCACAATTACGGAACCGCCTCCCCAGGGAGGTGTGCCCGGTGGCCCCCTCGCTCTTGATCTTTCAAAGGCAGCTGAAGACATGTTTTTTCGTGATGTATATAATATAAAAATATGTAAAAGATAGCATTATGGGGTTCTACTATCAGATTGTAATAGGAAGTCATCGGTGGATCTGGATATTTAAAAAAATTTTTTTACAGCAATTCTTTTCTGGTCCATCTTGTATCCAAGTTGCATAACTGTATGATTGTATTGTATTATGATATAAGCCAATTTGTTCCTCATTGTGTTTGACCTCTGAAGAAGGCCTGTATAGGCCGAAACGCGTCAGGTCAAGTCCATTGGCCATTGTGTGTAAGATTTTGGTATTTTTACATAAGGTGTGATTGGGCCTTTATATGTTTTTTAATTCTTTGCTAATAAATACCTTTGGCCCTGTTCACACGGAGAATTTGCTGTACTAAAGGCATGAATGCCAGGCGGATTTTCGGGGCGCGATCATACCGCCACATCTGGGAAGTGTAGCGCACCCTTGGCCAACCTGTGGCATCCCGCCAGATGTGCAGTAAAAAAGTACTGCGTAAAGTGCACTAGTATCCGGAAAACGCAGGGCAGGGGCGGGCGTCAAGATCGTGGGAGCGCTAGTATCCCGTGGCATCTGGCGCCCGTCCAGGTCCCGTCGCAAACTGGATGTTTTTTGTAAGCACATGCGCACAAACACGTAACTGAAATCAGTGCTGCTCCACGGAACTGTATATGCGCACAAACGCGAAACACTTGCCACACCACTTCTTTGTCACGCTTCAGCATCACCGTGTGATCGCCAGCTAACAGCCTAAGCGCAAAGACTTGAGGGACCGTCTGATCGGGCTACCGCGTTTTATTTTGCTCCGGAGCAAACAGTCACGCCTCCCCCCACATTATCTGGCCCATGTGACCGGGGCCTTTTTATATTATATACATTAAGTTTTTATTGTTGGCCCTCTATTCTGTTTGACTTACCTCTTTAGGTTCTGGTTCCCAGGTTTCAGGGTTAATCCCCCCCATTTTGTCCCATGTTTATTCGTGATAGCATTTGATTAGTTCTTTTGCATACCGACAGTTTTAAATTGTCGATTTTAAGTAATAGTTCTTATGTATTTCATGGTATTTTATTATTATTTACATTGTAAGCCACCGGAGTTCCTATAAGGTAAAAGGATGGCTAATAAATATTTTGAATACATAAATAAGGGCTGAACCCTGTCCCCTGAGCTTATTTTTCTGAAAAAACTTTTTAAAAAGCCTTTTTCTCCCAATGTAGCTATGAGACCAAAACTAAGCCTTGCCAGCAGGGGCAAAGGCTTCTACCCTCTTCTACCCTCCCGGTTTTAGAGGAGAAAGGGTCTGCAGTCGGAAGACTCAGTTCCCCACCTTCGGGTGATGTAGAGCTTTAAGTTATCCCTCCCTCTACTTTACATGGGTTGGGTCTGTACATTTCCACAAAATCAAATGCTTGACAGAGTCTACAGTCACTTGAATTTAACAAATTGAATTCCTTCACACATTTAACCCCAAAATGTTAACCCTACTTTTGAATGCTGGTTTCAGTAGGCCTACTAGATTCCGAGTCCTTTGTGTTCACAGCAGAATTCTCTCCTACCGTTTGGGGATCTTGGTAAGTCATACTAGTGGGGGGAACCATCATGCCTTTCAAGGCACCATCATGTGGCAACTGTATGTCCTCTGGCTCTGAAAAATCTGGAAGGAGCCACATCTATGTCAGGCCCATC